CGTTACGTACACATCGCTACACAATTGCGGCGAACGCCAAACAGCGGGCTTGGACACAAGCGTCGCCAGAGGGATAATCTGAGGAGCTGGCTGTATTTGTGTTGGCACCGGGACTGGGGCAGCCGGGGATGTGTGTGCGGGGCACCGCGCCTGGGGACTGAGTTACAAGTGTAGTTCGAAGTTGGCAAGGCATGCATCTGGATTCACGGTGGTGATGGTTTTAGGCAAGCGTTATATTGACCCATAAAGTCTCATTATAGCAAAAGGGGTTCGCAATGTCGTGGCAGGAGTGATGATTCCACAACCCCATCTCAGTAAAGGATAGCCGATGTAGCTCTCTCCAGACTCCCGCTTGTGGGGTGACCCAGGCGGTTCGGGACTTATGTTGGCTCTTGGTCGGTTGGTAGCCGTTTTAAGATATTGCGTTTGACTGCTCGAGTGAGTTTCATACTGGCGAGTCGGTGCCCTCCTCTGCGTGTCACACGGGGCGTCTTTCCGCATCGTAATACGATACAGCGATAATCTGCAGCTCAGCTCAGCATGTGAAACCTGTCCTGTCCTGTCCGGGCCCTTCCAGGATAGAAACTCAAGCTCTGCAGGAGAACGTCCCCCCACCTGGGGACGACCTATGCAGCCTCAGTCGTGGAATATTTCCTTTCATAACCGGGCGGTAGGAGGAATGTCGTGTTTTTCCCGTCGCTCTTCCCGATATAATAAACTTCGCAAGGGCGAGAGGCCCGAGTCCGAGGTGCCAGACCGCAGCGCCGTGCGACGTTGATCTGCTCTCTGGTTTTGTTTAAACGCGGTTCCCTGTCGTGTCTCTTCCCCTTCTCCAGACTGCCTGGAGACGGAGCGCCATGACGGAGGCCGTCGCTCCCAAGTTGTGCTCGCTGGAGGAGGAGCTGCGTTACTGGAAGGAGGCGGCGGAGAAGTACCGGCAGAGGTAGGGGAATCCGGGGGCTCACCTGCCTCAGTCGCCAGTGGGATACCCCCCCCCTGAAGGGCGGCCGGGCTTCCGTGTGTCTTAGCTGACCGGTCTGTCCTCGGTCGCTGCGCGCAGTCGTGTGCGTTTTGCGCCGCGTCCAATATTGCGAGGGGCAGCGCCGTATCCGGAGGCGCCGGAGGGGCCGCTCAGCCAGCCGGGTCAGTCACGCCGAGGGCCACGGCTGCAGAAAGTCAGGGTTTTCCTTCCGTAGTTCAGAAGCCAGGGCTGCTTTACAAAGCGTTTCAGGTTTGAATGTAAGGGTGCACAGCTCCTGCCAAGACTGTGTTAATATCCAAGGCTGCTCGGGAGACAGGCAGGCAGGCAGTTTTCCCACCTTTTCCAAGCTCAGGTTATTTGAAATATTGCTGTCCTAGCCCACGTTCCACGCCCCCGTGGGTGAGAAAGCGATCAGCCTTCGGGGCATGGAGTTGCGAGCCGCGTAGCGCCATGGGAACCGTGACAAGAGGGGGCGCCCTGTGCGCCGGCGACGCGGGTCCGAGCTGAGCGGCCTGTTCTCTCCCCCGGCCCGGCAGCGCGGAGGAGGCCCAGGACGAGCTGCAGGAGTTCCAGCAGATGAGCCGGGATTACGAGCAGGAGCTGGAGGCGGAGCTGAAGCAGTGCGAGGCGCGGAACCGCGAGCTGCTGACGCACAACAACCGCCTGCGCATGGAGCTGGAGACCTACAAGGTACCGCGCCGCAGCCGAGCTCGGGGACGGGGAGGGTGTTCTCTGTATGACTTCTGACGTTTTCTTCCCTCCTGTTAAAAACGAAGACAAGGCCTTGGCTCCCTGGATCTCCTCCTGCTGTGTTCTGCAAGAGACCTCTATACCCCCCCCCCCCGCCAGACGTGTTTCCTGAGCCGAGTTCTATGTTTCGGCGTTTCCACTTGTGTCGTCTGGTTCGTGTCTCCCTCTTCCCTTTGAAGACGAGGATTGGGATGACTTGGTTCCGAAGTTACCCTTCCTAGTCGATTTGGTCAGGACCAAAAAGGGGGTCCTTATTAGCCGGGAGCCTGTTCTGCTTCCCAAAGACGGTCTTGTGGGATAAACAAGACGCGTTGTTCCTTGATTGTGGCTTTCCCGGTATTGCGAAGCCACGGGGCACGGTCTCGGGAAGTGTCATTCTGGGAACTTGTCTCTCCGTGAATGCAGTTTCTTTACACGCTTGTCATTATACAACTCGCCTGGCTGCCCCCTGAAAACATGATCGGTTAGAGAACCTTCAGTGTTGGTTTCATCCTGGTTGAAGCACCATTGCTCAAAGTCATTCCGGTGTTATTTGGTGCCACCTTCCAGTTGGAGTCACCCGGGAGTTCATCGGTCAAGCACTCTCTGAAATGAAGAGATAAAGTGATGGATCAGTAACATAGCAGTGTTCAGAGGGGCCGTGTATTCTTACTGTATTGAGTCTTGGGGGACTTGGACTTGGGTGACTGTTTTGCCTCCTGTCTTTTTCAATGGTTTCATTGTTCCTGATCACTCTCCTGCCCCCAGGGTTATGGTCTGGGATGCTGGCAGTCCGGCGTGCTGTCTCTTGGTGGCATGATCAGGGACCACACAGACTTGCATTTCACTTTTACACGGCTCTGCCTGCCTTTTCTAGCCCAGCACGACACGGCCGGGTTTGTCCCTCACAGCCCGAGAACGGAGCTGAACTCAAATGCGAGGTGTTACCGGCCGCCTCTGAATGCAGATAACTAAATCGGCGTTGATTTGTCATGCCGTTTGATGGTGGCCTTGCCCCCCTGTGTGTCAAGAGTCTGGGTGTCGGTGTAAACTCTTAGCTTTAAAGTCTGAATTCGGTGCAGTCAGACCTGCTTTTCATGACCTGGGAAACAACGCCAGTGAACCGTTCTTGAACAGGATGTGACGACACCAGTTCGAGCTTCCCTAAGCCACCACTTGACTTCCTGGTCTGCCTCACGAGGGACCCCGGGGGGCTTACAGACTGGCAGACCGGCCTGTATGACCGCGTTGTCCTGGTTCAGAGGTCGTGACGCCGGCTGCCTGGTGGTTTTAAGATCGCCTCTTGAAGTAACTGCACCAAGACTGGTCAAGCGTCTGTCTTTCGGTGCAGTCGGCTCGTGACCGGACTTGTGTTTGCTCTGCTCTGGGATGCGCAGGTGTGAACGGCGCTATAAAAGGGCAGATGTTTGTTGTTTTGAATTCTCGGCAAAGAACGCCTTGTTTCCTCGGAGGTGCCCATCTGTGCAGCGCCCGTTTGGCTGTGCCGATGAGGTCAGCCGGGGGACCTGAGCACAATCCCGGATTCACAGCCGCAGGCCTCCGGGCACAGCCTGGAACAGAGGGCTGATTGTGACCCAGGAAGCAGCTGATAGTTATTTCAGAGCAGCGCCTGGAAGGAGGAAAGCAATGAAATAGGATCTCCTTATTCTCTGACAGCCAGAGCTTTTTCGTTTTGCGCCGGCTGCTCTCCCACGCCTGAAGAGCGAGGCAGAAGGAGAAAGAGATGAAAGGCAGGAGCTCCTCGGTCAGCCCACTTTCACGCTGGAGCACTCATACTGAGTTTTTATTTTAGCTTTCTTAGTGCCGTTCTTGCATTGGTAGAGGGTAGTTTTGCAGCGCGTGAAACAAATGACCGAGGACTGTCAAACCTTTTAGCTGTGCTGTGCAAGCTTTTGGGGGGCGTAATTCTTCTCCGACTGCCCCTCAGACAGGATGACAACGATGTCCCTTGGTGCAAGTGACAGGCTCTCGCTGGGAACAGCACCAGCTCAGCACGGCTCTGCCGTGCTGTAAGAGTTGAGACATGCGTGACCCTGTATTCCTCGTTTTGTGTTCGGCCCTGCCAGGAGAAGTTCGAGGCCCAGCACTCGGAGGCGTTCAGGCAGATCTCGACTCTGGAGGGCGACCTCGCCGAGACCACGGCCGTCAGGGACCAGCTGCAGAAGTACATCAGGGAGCTGGAGCAGGCCAACGATGACCTGGAGAGAGCCAAGAGGTCAGCCTGCGGGCCGCAGCAGGGGGGGGTTTAAATGTTTGGCTGAGCTGTCTGTGCCGCGCTCAAGCTCTTGAAGTAGTTTAATATTGATGGAAATAGAAAAGCAGTGCTACTTTTCCTATCGTTTCCTATTTGGACCGGAAAGGAGAGGCTTTGATTTACTGTGAAATACAGGAGTAGAGTCTGCTGATGTTTTCCCAAGTAGCACTTCCATCCAGAGCAATTCCAATCCCGTAATCCCATCTCTTGCCTGACTTGCCTCCCCGTCGTGCCCCGCAGGGCCACCATCATGTCCCTGGAGGACTTTGAGCAGCGGATGAACCAGGTGATCGAGAGGAACGCCTTCCTGGAGAGCGAACTGGATGAGAAGGAGAACCTGCTGGAGTCCGTGCAGAGACTCAAGGACGAGGCCAGGGGTGAGAGAGGGGCTGGGACGTGCGACCAAGTGGGCGGCAGGGCTTGTTTGGTGGAGGGGGGGTTGGCTCGTGAAGAACTGCACTTGTTAAAGTGAGGCTGCGGTCTGCTCGGCCGTGAGCGGTCTGACCTCGCGTACCTTCGTCTCGCCTTTCCCGGCAGACCTGCGCCAGGAGCTGGCCGTGCAGCAGAAGCAGGAGCGCAGGCCCTCTCTGAGCGCGGCGGCCAAGGAGGGAGAGAAGGCCGAGTCGCCGGCGCGGCCCCCATCGGCGCTCCCTTCCTTGCCGGGCACTCCCGGGGGGCCCCGCATGACCCCCAGCACCTTCGCCACTCCTCCGTCCTCCTACCGCCGAGGTGAGACCCCCCCCTCCGCGGGGCGCGCGGCCTCTCGAAGACAGAGGTGCCGCCGCCCTCTTTCTCACTGGGACCGGGGCTCGGGCAGGGCTGTGAGGAGGCTGCTCTTGTACAGCACTGCAGGAGGGATTCTGTACAGTACTCCGGGACTGAATGGGTCTTCCTGACGTGCCTGGTGTTGAGCATTCAGCCCGACTGCAGTTCCAGCGTGTGTGTTTGTGTCTGTCCGTGCAGGCGACGGGCTCACCGGTACCCCCCTCACCACCTCGGCCCGGATATCTGCGCTCAACATTGTCGGGGAGCTGCTGAGGAAAGTGGGGGTAAGAGCTGGACGGTTTGCTCGGTCTCGGCAGGACAATTTGAAGTCCCGTTTTAAAATCCGAACGACCATTCCAGTGCCATTTACAATTACGTTCATCTCACGGCTTTATGCCTGCAGTATACCTTTTTTCTTTCTACCTTTTTCCAGTAATTGTAGTTTCAGAAGTGAATTTTTATGGTGGTCATAGAACCTTCCTAACCAAGCATTTTCATTAGTGTTTCCCCAAAGTCTGTCAGAGCACATGCCAGCCTGTCACTGTTAAATTGGCTCAAGCTATTCTCCTTCTTTGGGCTGTGCTGGGGGCTCTTTCGGCAGGAGCTGGGGTGTCCAGCGACCTGCAGGTTTGGGGGTTGCGTTAGCGGCGGGCTCGGGGCCCGACACAGAGCCCCGTTGACCGCGTGGTCGTTGCCGTTTCAGAACCTGGAGGCGAAGCTGGCTTCCTGTCGGGACTTCGTTAACGACCAGTCGCCTGGCCGCCTCGCGCCCTGTAACCGAGCCGGCAGCGCTGCTCCCTCGAGAGAGAGCCCCGAAAGCAAGGCCGCCCCCAACTGTCTGCCGCTCTTCGACAAGGGGTGAGACGAGACTCCCGTGGGTGCCAAAGCCCTTACCCAGCATGCCTTGGAACAGTTTGACACAGAGGTTGTTTCTACTGTCTGTGGATCACCTGGTCCTGCTGTCACCTGCAGAACAGGGCCTGCAGCAGAGCCCGTCAGACCTGGGCGCTGGGTCGCTCGTGGTGGTGATGGCAGCAGGACAGGAATCTCTGGGGCAGCTGTGCAGAGAATTGAGCCCTGCTGTCCTTGCCCTGTCCTCCAGGTTCATGTCTGTCCATATGAGAGCTGGGCCACTTTCCCCATGAAGCCTGGAAGCTGTTGTTCTGTTATCAAAGCAGAGCTTAACACAGCCTGAACTTAAGAACTTCAGTCAGCAGTCCTGATTTTGTATACCCTTTTTTTTTTTCTGCAGGTTGGCAAAGCGTTTGGAGTTTGGACCAGCGCCCTCTAGTGTAGCCTCCCAGACTGCACAGTCACCTCAGGGTGTGGTGAAAATTTTACTTTGAGAGGGCCCTCACTCCCCCCCACCAATGCCTGTAGGTCACTTCACCCTAGTCTCCTGCTTGGAGGATCATGCTCCCCTGTGAGGACAAAAAACACATTAAACCACTAACCATTCCGAGTGACTGCTCAGCTGTCCGATCAGGGGACACCTGCAGGTGGGAAGAGAGAACTGGGGGTTTCGGAGCTGACGGAGATTTTGCTATGTAGCTGCTGCAGCCTTCGTAGGGCATTTAACTGTCTCCTGACCTTCTGCTAGAAATAAATGCGGAACGACTTGGTTTGTTAAACTTCGCTGTAACTGGTTTCACACACACAACACGCAGTGCCTGCTGAGGCACAGGGATCTGTTTTACGGCTGCACTGATCTTCACAGTCAATGGCAATTCAGCCCAGGAGGAAGAGGACTTTGTGAGACAAGTCGGCGGACCCCGTGTGCCTGCTGGGGCGGTAATGCTTGCCCGTAGCTGCTGATGTGGCTGAGGATGGGCTACGGACCTTCACAAGCTGGGCTGCCTAGGAGGCCTGTAGTGTGGGACTTTTTCCAAGACTCATGCACATTGGCTAATGTTTTTCACGGAGCAACCCAAGGGGAACAGCTGTGGTTCTTTGGGGTGAAATGCGCCGCGACAATGACTCAGAGACAAGGTCCGCCTGCACACGCGCAGACCACGACAGGAATCGGTGCTTGCCGACCAGCCTCTTGCCAAAGCCTTTGCTTTCGTTTGGTTTCCCTCAGTTTTGTGTGAAGCCGAATCCATGCCTGACACAACAAACAGGTGTGAGCTCAGCCCTCGCCTTGTACCAACTTCACCTTTCGGTCAGAGTACAGACGCAGACTAGCACAAACATGCATTGCTGTGCTTCAGGGGCTTTGGGACCGAAGCTCCATTCTGTTAAAAAACCAAAGCCTGTGTCTGTGTTTCTATGAGGTAAGCCCTGTATTTGGCGTGGAAGGGTGGTCCAAGTTCTTTGGTTTAAAAGGCAGTGTGCACACTTCATGGAAAAATGTGTGTGTAAAATACCAGCTGCAGTAAGCAAATATGGTTAACCCTCTCAGGATCAACTTCCATACTGTAGCTAATGAGGAATGCCCTAGAGAAAGCAATGCCACCTGCTTAAATCAGATTTGCCTAGACACAAATTTAGATCCTAAGTGGCTGTTGGTTCTGTTGTAGTTTTTAATGCCATTAATTTTTCTGCACTCTTCCTGGCCTGATTATCATTGCCAGTGACTGCTTACTTCCCGTTGTGGTGCGTGCTCATGGGGAACTGCACCAGAGCCTGCAGGGCCAGCGCAGCAGCTCTTGGGGGCTGGTGTGTAGTCCCCGCTGGGTGGCGATGGTGCCGTCTGCACTGAAGAGGTCACTGGTGCAGCCGCCGTGTCCAGGAGTGGGCTCAAGGGACTGTTTCTGGCCACAGGAATGAGTTCTGGGCAGCTGGTGTTTGTGAAGGGGCAGAGGGTGGTTGAAATTGGGGGGAGGAACATATCTGCACTTTCTCCATGTTAAAGCATGGATCAGAAGTGATAAATAGCAGTGCAGCACAGAGGAGTTGTCCAAGCTACTTCTGTATTGAATCACCAACATTACTGAAAAGGATTTTCTCCTTTCATTTTTGTGTTAAATTGGTTTTATGGAGGTAGCAGGTTGATGTACTATTAAGCAATATCTCACTGTAGACAATATACTGTAATAAGCTTACCATATTTGAGGTACAGATTTTTTTCCCCCCTAAATGAAGGAAGTGGTTAAAAAAAAGGCACTAGGTGGAAATGGTGGTGTCTGCTTTTCTGTGTTATACTGACATGTAATGGTATGCTCACTGCTCTAGGCTCCCAGCTATCCCCACACTAGGCTAGTGTCTGTGCTCCAGCTTCTATTGTACACAACGGAGGCTTGGTTACTTGTCTTTTTTTATACCCAGCTGTGTGTAGTGTATTAAAACTACTTGTACATACCCCTGACGTGTTCCCCATTTCAAGTTGGAAAACTCGGCAAGTTGTTCACTGTGCATATTTTCAGTCTCCCTCAAGAATGGACACATCGCTTTAGATTGTGAGATCACATTTTATTTTTAGATGTGCAAGTGGCTTCACAAATACACAGCTACCAGTGCCACAGAAGATGTCAAAACAAGTATAATGGTGAAATTCTGGTTACTCAGATACAGTATCTTTCCCTGTGATCAGTGTATGGCTTGTGTATTCACCCTGAAAAGTCTTGAACAAGGAAACACAGGCAGTGGAAAGAGACTGGCCTTCAGGGAGACAAAGCACTTCATAAGGATTAAATTGAGAAGACTTTAGCTGGGAGGGGCATTAGTACAGTCAGGGTAGAGGCAATAACTAAATGGAGGGCCTGTTCTATAAAATTGTGAGACAAAAAAAACTTAAATATACACTAGTAAGTTAATATTGCAGCAAATTTAAAACAATGGGCAGGATAGTCTTATTGCAGTAGGACAAGAGGACCAAACCACTGTGGAGGTTGCCCCACGAGTTTAAAAGATCTAAGAGTTAATAATGAACAGATAAAGGAGGGGCTTTTAAATAATTAAAACAAGTTAAAAAGCTCAGGGCTTGTGCCATTGCTTTTCAGGACTTTCCCTCCCCCCCCCCCACTGCAGAGCATGATGGGTTTAGGAGAATGACCAAGAACAGGACGTGTCCACACTTTTAATCTCGAGTCAAACACCATCTAGTGGCCCAGTACACTACTGCAGTCTGGCATCTGCCTGTAATTAGCAGCCACCAACGAGGTCACTTCCTGAGTACACTCAGATGTATTCTTCCACAAAATGAGTACTGAATAGCTTTTTTTTTTTTAAATCCAGCTATTCCAGTTTATTTGTAATAGCCATTACTCATTTCTGCAACATTAAGAAGCCACCGCATGCATGCAGTTCAAGTTGATTTATTTTGATGACCCGTACCAGAACTCAACATTTATGGGTTTGTTTCCACCCAATCTGGAAGTGGTTACTGCTAACCTGGGACAAATGAGGCAATTCATCTGAAATAACTAACCGTCTGCCCAACACTGAGCACACAGTAGGCACTATGGGCGTGCCAGGGTGCTGCCCTATGGTTTCAGACATCTTTGCCACCCCTCTCCATCTGATGTTGGCTGAAGAGGTTCCTGCAAGCCTTCTTCAGACACTGCTACTCCGCTACAAGTGAAAACCGGGGAAGGGCCACCTCTAGCGATAGGATCTCTCCTGTGCAAGAGGTCTCCTTTCTGACCTGGTTTGATGCTCCATGGAGACCATGAATCAGACTAAGTCCCCTTTAAGCGACAGATGAAAAGCCTTTGCGTTTAAAAGTTTTATTCTGGGCACCATGTGGGGGATCCAGGGGGAGAAGGAAGTAGGGGGGTGTGTTAACAAGCAAAAGCACAAGAACACATCACAACAAAACCCTCACACTCGGAATAAACAGTGGTTTTGGCTCGAGGTGCCAGCGGTCCCCCTGCACGCTGCAGGGCGGCGCGTTCGGCTTGCAGTGCTGGTGGGATTGGGGGGGGGGGGGGGGAGAATCCTTGTCCATGGCGAAGTCGTCCGTTGCTTTGCTGCCGCGGTGAGAAGCGTGCCCGGGCGGCGCGGCGGCGGCTCTAGTCGTTGGCCTTGGTCCCGTTGAAGTCTCCCTCCCGCGCGTCCGCCTCCTCGTCGGAAGCCTCCGCGTTGTCGACCACCCCCCGGCGGCCGGCCCCCCGCCGCGGCGCGCTGAAGGCCGGCTCGTTTCCCCGCCTGCGCCGGAGACCGCAGAGACGCGAGGGTGAGGGTCGCCACGCCAACGGGGGGGGGGTTTAAAAGTGCGAATCGAGTTTGCTAGAGTAAGACCAGGGCTCATTCATGATCTGCAAAGCCCCCTGCTGGAGCTTCCATATCCCCAGCGAAGCATCTTTAGAGTGGCCGATTGCTGGCTGTCAAAAGCCATGTACACACTGAACAGAAATGCACTTCAACCTCTAACAAAGATCTCAATATTGAAATGAAGCTAACCAGATTAAGGCGTTAGTGATTAGCTAGAGAATAGGTTGATTCCAATGGAGAGAGGAGGTATGGTTAAGGAGGGAGCACATTCTCTCCAGGCTTCAGCACAGGTCAGGGAGATAATGCAGTTAAACGGCAAGGCAGGTTAACTCGATTAGCTGAACCCATTGGGGCCTGCCTGCAGGGAAATGGTTAGTATTCCTAACAGGACTCAAGCCGGTCGGAGTGCAGGAAACACATGGCCACGTACAACCCAAATATATGAATTCCCTTCCAAGACGCGGAATGGGATTTTGCCACTTCCCCTCACTAACCAGCGTCACACTCCACTAGAACATCATCAGCATGGCACAGGTGTAGGGGAGCCCATTGGCCCTTGTACAGGGACAGTTTGAAGAGGGAGCACATGGCAAGGAGGGGGCAGGGAGTAGGGGTGGATAGGCACTAAAGCAGCTGCGCATAGCATCTAAGAAGCACTGGTACCTGCTGCGTCACTGCGAGGTGTCCTGAGTGCCTCTGTAATAAAGACAGAATTGGTTTCTGATCCATCTTGGCAGCAAGGCCGAACTAGGCTGTACAAAGCACTTCCTACAGAGCATCACTCAAGAGCAGGGCCCCTCCGTTGCAGAAAAAGGCGGGTGAGCAGACCCCAGTGGGCTTTGCAACCAAGCTAGGGAGAGGTATAAAAATCCTCTCCATGCTACCAACTGGTAGAGAAGGTGTGGGGGAAATAGCCCGTGAGGAGCATGAGGTGAACTCCTCCCCAATTTGGGCCACATGGGTCACGAGGCTCTTGCTCACTGGCTGGCGTCCTCCACTCATCAACAAGAAGGGTGGTGGAGACCAGCCTGGCCGAACTGGACATTCCAACATGGCGGAGGGTGGGATCCATCCCCCTACCTGAGCTTGCCCTTGAGGGAGTTGACCTCACGGGTCATGGCCTCGTTGGCCTCCGTGGCTTCATCCAGCTCTCTCTGCAGCTTCCTGCGGGCCGCCGTGATGCGCTGGGACTCCTCCTCCGCCTCCTCCAGCTGGCGCTTCAGCTGCTTGACGCGCATGTTGGCCTTCTCCGCCTGGATGGGACAGCAGGAGAAAAAAAAAACCCATTGGATACCTCAAAGGAAAGGGCCTCCAGAATCAGGTAAATCAAGGTCTTTTCAAATGGGTCCTTCAATCACTTGGCCTCTTTAGAAGCTAATATAACAGGAGTAATGAGCAGTAGACTTCTTGAACAGGTTGGATAGCTGTTCTCTTCCAGTTGGCTTACCTCAAGTTCTTTGGAATCTAGAAACTGAAAAAGAGATCTACAGCACGCACACATACCCCTTTGTATTATTTTGCTCACAGCTACCACCCCAAATGCATATTACATGGACCACATACCTGGTCTTTGTATTGTTCTGCCTGCTTCCTCTCGTCTTCCACCTGCATCATGAAATCCTTCAGCTTCTTCTCCTTCTGACGCATGCCCTTTGCGCTGATCTGTTTTTCCCTGTCCAAGCACATGGAGAAAAGTGCATAACCATTAACGTTGCAGAAGGGCCACTTCAAGCCTGCCGGACATTAAAATACTAGATCACTTCAGGTGGGAGACTCAACCTGGCCTTAAGAATGCGTGAACATCCAGATGCCCCCCCCAATATATTATTCTCAAACTAGATCCGCTTTGCAGGTGTCCTTTACCTGTTCTCCTGCTCCAGCTGCTCCTCCAGCTGTTGCACCTTGGCCTCCAGGGCAGTGATGGTGGCCTTGAATTTGGACTTCACAGCACCTTCCATCTCCTGCAGCTTGGCCTTCAGCTCCTTGTTTTGCCTCTCCAGCTGCTGCCGCGCGCTCTCGTTCTTCTGAGATGTGCTGCGCTCAGTCTGCAGCTCGTTGTTCACCTGCTCCACCTGGCCAAGAGAAATTGCGGGGTGGGTAGTAGATTTCTGCTCGCATGGTTGACCAACTTTCAGTGTCCTGGAAAGGGATCTGTTCCCCATCTGCTTTGCAATTGAAGTGAGTGTCTCAAACTGGTCTGTTCCTTTCAGTCCAAACATGAGCTACACAAAAAACGCACAGCCATTGTAACCCAGCCCTCTGCCAGGTAACAGATTTCATGCGTGGCTGTGCAAGGGAAAGACTTCAGCAGGATCAATAGCCTCCCCTTCCTCCTAGCTGACCACACCATCGGTCCCTCCCCTACCTGCTGAACAGTCTTCCTCAGCCGGTCATTGACCATCTCCATGTTGCCCTGCTCCTCCTCCAGCTCCTCCTCCAGCTGCGAGATTTTAGCCTCCAGACGCCGCTTCTCATCCGCCAGTGCCGACCTGCACACACAGCCATAGTTTATACATCAGAGGGGCTCACAGGTTAAAGCTGTTGAATGGCCATTCGTCCCCTTCCTTCCAGCCCAGTTGCAAGTGCTCGGAACTGGCGATGGTCCACTGCTGGCTGAGCAACAGACCGGCATCACTGCAGCAGTCGGTACAGAAAGTTTTAAAATGCGCATTTTCCCCCACACTTTCCCTTAAATATTGGGCAACATCAAGCTACCAGTTAGGGGGAAGTTTGCATGTTCTATTCATGCCAACTTGCTCCATTTGGCTCAGGGCTGTACGGAAAGATGGGGGCAGCAGAGCAACCATCCCCATCCTCACCCAGTCAGTCACCTCTCCCACATCCTTCGAGACTCACTTTCCAGAAGTGTTGCTGGCCAGCTCATCAGCCAGCTCCTCCTTCTCGGCCTCCGCCTGCTTGCGTGCTCGCTCTGCTGCTGCCAGGTCCTACGGGCACAGAGACGGCGACCATCAGCCAGTGGACCAGCTACACCACAAGGGCGGTGGGTTTATGGAACAAGCTTCCCCAGCCCAGTCCATGAGGAAGCTGATCTGCTTCTTGAAGGATGCCAGGGTAAGATCCTTAATGCAAGGAACGGCCAGCTACCAAACGGGCTCGACGCACTGAATGACCTCTTCTCATATGTAACCACTTGTAAGGGTCACCCATTTTGTATTTAAGCAGTAAACCTGGTTTTACTCCCCTCTTACATCTCCAGTTGTCCTTTACTTGTGCCAGCATGCCTCTGCAGCTGCCTCTAGGAGGCGAGACTGGACAAGCCCATTGGCCCCGTTACCTCCTGTAGCTGCATGAGCTCGGCCTCCAGGCTCTTGGCCTTCTTCTCGCTCTCCTTGGCCGTCGCCAGCACTTCCTCCCTTGCAGTGCGGGCGTCCTCCAGCTCCCTCTGGAAGTCCTTCATCTGGGCCTGTGGGCGGGGCAGAGGTTACAACGGTCGCGACAAGCAAGGTGGTGGTCATTTACCTATATGAAGTGGGTGTGTCTTTAGCCTCATTATGATAAACTAAAAAAATACAGCAGAATACCAGCTCAAATGGAGAGACACTCAGTATACAAGTTACGCAGAGACTACTACACCATTTCAGGTAACAGTGTCGGGGTGACCCACATGGGGAGAGTGGCTCTGCTCACCTGGAGCTTGCGCAGCTGTTTGATAGCCTCGTCACGGCCTTTGTTTGCCATCTCGATGTGGCCCTCCAGGTCCTTGATGTCTCCCTCCAGCTTCTTCTTCGCGGCGGACGCAGTGGCTCTCTGCTTCCGCTCGTCCTCCAGCTCGGTCTCCAGCTCGCGCACCTGGGGGACGGCACCGGACCGGGACGTGGCTTAATCCAGAAGGGTGCAGTTTCCAGGGGTGTTTTATGCATGTGCTTGGTTGCACTATTGGGGGGGTGGTGGGGGGGGTTCAGGCATAATCCCACAAACTCAGGATCCCATTTAAAAAGGTCCTGTTCTCTTTTTACATTGAGAATTCTGCCTGCAAAATTTACATTTCTAATGATTACTTGCATGAAAAGTGAACAGACGGCAACCCGCTAGAGATGCCCAAGTGGGCGAAAAACATGGCATGGAAAGAAAGTTTGTTACTGCATTAGCTTTGCAGGCTTTAGGCGATTAACAGTGTACAAGACACCATCACACCACCTTTCCTTGGTGCTCAAGGGATGGGGAATCCGTACCTGTTTGACCAGCTGCCTCTTTTTCTCCTCGCCCTGCTCATCGCGGCCCTGCAGGTCTCGGTCAAACTGGGCCTTCAGAGCCTGCATGTTGACCTCCAGCCGCAGCTTGGCATCTTCAGCGGCCTGCAGCTCATCCTCCAGCTCTTCCAGTTGCGTCTTCATCTCTTCCACCTGGGCCTCCAGGCCACGCTTCGACTTCTCCAGCTCGTGGACCTGCGGGCAGGGGGGTCAGTTAGGAATACAGAGCTAAATCAACACGGAGAAGGACTGTTCAAGCTGCAGCACCGAGAATTGGTTGTGTGACAGAAGGGGAGTTTAACTAACAGTGAATGAGAAGACATTGCAAGAGAACCTGTAAGATCCTATCTAATTCATGCCCATGTTCCATGTCCAGAGGGACAAATCGCAGTAGAACCCAGTCAGAGAAACTCACGTTCTTGCCGACATCGTCCTTGGAGCTGACCAGGTCTTCCATCTCGGCCCGCAGAGCTTTGTTGATCCTCTCCAGCTCCTCGCGGGCATCCTGCGCTTCCTCGAGAGCCCGTGCCAGGGACAGCGCCTTCGTCTCCTTCTCTCGTGCTTCGGCCTCCGCCAGGTCCCGCTGCTCGGCGTACTTGTTTGAGATGCTCTTTTCCTCCGCAAGCATCTGTGAGGAGAGGCAAGAGCAGCAGTGAGATACAGTGGGCAGGAGTGAATAAGAGGAATAGCCACTTCTCACCAGAGGCTTGAAACAAGAGCCCTCATGGATGCAAACTATCCATTCCTTTTCTCAAAAGGAATCAGAATACATCATTCCTCCTTCTTATGAGGAAACATTGGAGCTCATCGTTGGGCATTAAGGAGGAGAAAATGGAGTCTAACCTGATCAAACTTCTTCTGCTTCTTCTCCAAGTTGGAGACCAGCTGCCTCTGGCTGTCCAGGTCCACCAGCAGGTCTTCCAGCTCCTGCTGCAGTCTGGTCTTGGTCTTCTCCAGCTTCTCGTAGGCCGAGGCCTTCTCCTCCAACTGTGTGTTGGTCCCCTCCAGATCTCGCTGCAGTCGCTTCTTGCTCTCCTCCAGCGCTTCCACGGTGCCCACAAACTCATCAAGCTTCTTCTTGGACTCCGACAGCTGAATTAGGAGGGAGAGGGAACACAAGGCTGGGCTAGGTGAAGAAATTCAACCTCTCCATATTTATTGAATGCATCATTCAAAACCCATTTCATCAGTCACCAATTCAAATGTCTTAATCCTATAAAAGGGAGATCATTGGAATCGGCAAAAACTGCAGGACTCTTGTCTTCAATAAATGGTCATACCACTGGAAATTCCTGGACTGCAAGATCTGCAGAAAACCTCAGTGAGTTTTTCTAGCAGATGCTGCTCCATACAATAGGGTGCGACACTTGACCATCAAAACCTCTCGACTGAGAGGCGCCTGACCCAGGAGGGACCTCAATTCTACCGACCTGCACATTCAGAGAGGAGATGTTCCTCTCGAGGTTCCTCTTCGCTTCGCTCTCCTCTTCCAGCTGCTCCTGGACACTGTTGCGGTCCTCTTCCATCTGCCGCAGCCGTGTCGACACATTCAGCTTCTGCCGTGTCTCCTCCGCTAGCAGCTCCTAAACAGGGTGGCGGGAGAGGTTTTGCGAAGTCGGTTAGTACCGACCAAGGCTCACCACAAGGTCCCAGCTGGACTGCAGTAACAGGGGTGACTTTGCAAGCAAAACCCTGATCAAACACTGAACAATTTTGAAGAAGGGTAGCACAGTGGTGGTTTTGGATGACTTCTTCATAGATCTTGGGTCCTGGATTCACATCCGGATTGGAGCATCTTTTGCATGTTCTCCCCAAGTTGTTGTGGGCTTTCCTCAATTGGTCCCAATACTTCATCTTCAACAGACACGCTGGTTAAGAGACGGTGCTTGCACGTTTGCACCTCAAAACATGCAATCACACGGGTGAAGACCTGCCTTACACCCTGCGATTCTGGGACGGGCTATGGGTAGCCACAAGCCTCATCAGAAACCATTTATTCCTTACACTAGATGTACTTCAAGACTAACGCAGAATTCAATTGAATTGTTTTTACGTAAACAATAGACCAAGACACGAAAGGTATTGATGGTCAAAGAAGCCTATACCTGTGAGTCTTGGAGCTGAGAGCTCAGGGTGGACACGTCTTTGCTCAGCTTGATATTCTTGCCTTCTGCTTCATTGAGGAGGTTGGTGACACTCTCCAACTCGACCTGTAAGGAGAGTAAAGGCATGAAAACTGGTTGGTGGTGCAGGCAGTGTCACACCTAATTTGAGCCAGTTATTAAACCAGTCCTTCAAAATTTGAAGGTATTGTTCACCACTTAGTTTTGGGGGGTGGGGGGAGAGAAAGTGGTAGGGCCCCAACTATCAAGAAGGGATGAGGACGTACAGAGAGTTTTGAGACGCGCTCGCCCAGTTCTGCCTTCTGTTTCTCCCCCTCGGTGAAGCGGGACTGCAGGTCCGTCAGCTGGACCTCCACCTTCTTCCTCTTGTGCTCTACATCCTGCTTGGCCTGGGAGAGGGAGCGTACTTCTGAACTCAGATCGGCTGCCTCCTTCTCCAGGGTTTGTTTTGCTTTCTCCAGGTTAGCTTTCACCTAGAGGAAGAGGGAAACATAAGATTGGGCTTTAATAAATAAACTTGAAAGACCAGCAATGGACCTCAAGAGGGAATGGTGTTGGTTAATGGATTTATCTTCCCTCTGCCCCTTTCCCTCTTGCTTGCGGTCGGTCTCGTACCCGCTTGGACTGCTCCAGCTGCTCGGTGAGCTCCTCCACTGCCTGCGTGTGTTTCTGCCTCATCTCCTGGACCTGCGCTTCGTGATTGCGCCCCTCTTCCTCCAGAGCTCGCTTCAGCAGCGTCACTTCCTGCTCCCGCTTCGCTCTGAAAAAGACACGTGAACGATGCCGATCACTCACTCCCGAGCGCGGCGACATCCTGGGCTGCTACACTACACCAGACCGTTCCAGGCTAGGACGCCCTCACCGGAGCTCCTGCTGTGTGGCGGTGCTGTCCAACGTGTCCTCCAGCTCAGACTTCAGTGCCTCCAGCTCCTCTCCCAGGTCGCGCTTGGTCTTTTCTGCCTTGTTGCGAGCAGCTCGCTCCGACTCGAGGTCCTCCTGCAGGTCTGAAATGTGTCCCTCCAACTCCCGTATCTTCTTCAGAGCATTGTTCTTCTGTGCCATTTCATCTTCCAACCTAGGGCACAGGTTTAAAAGATGATGATCTCATACAGCAGCAAAAGAGAGAAGCACCGAGGCAAGAGCCCTGTGGTCACGCAAGGTCATAGTGTACCGTGCCAGTGCGGCCTGTAGCTCCTCCTCTTTCTTGGCTAGCTGTGCCTTCAGTTCAGCAATCTGGGCCTGCAGGTCTGCCATATGCTCCTGGAGGTCACTGGACTCTGCCTCCAGCTTGCGCTTGGCCTTGTCCAGCTCCTGGCGGCTCTTCTCTTCTTTCTTCAAACGCACTGCAAGACAAAGACATTAAGCATCTTCTACTTCTAAGTAACTTGTGACAATACAAGAGAAGGTCAGATGCTTCTGATCATAAAGAGCAACTGCAAGTTCAAGAAAGACATGCGGGTGTACCCTCCAGCTCCGAGATCATGGACTCGTGTTTGTTCTTCAGCTTGGTCAGGTTCTTGGATTTCTCCTCTTCCTCTGCAAGGTTGCTGCTAAAGTCCGCTATCCGCTCTTCCATTAGCTTCCGCTCCTGGGAATTTCCAATAATGGCACAATTAAGGTGGCAGCCAGGGGTGCAGAACATGAGCCCTCTCCAACATCACACTTTGCAACAGGTCTGTAGAATAGGACACCCTCACATCCCGGCTCTTTTCCCAACTTTTCAAAGTTCAGGAGGCTATAAAGCTTTCGGAGATGTGGTATAAGTGAATAAAGTGAGTATTTGTTCTGGACGAGAGTAAAAATCAGAATACCTTACATGAAGTAAATTGAGGTTATTCCCAAGTTAAGGCTAAAATAAATAAACAAATAAATCTCTTGCAAGTTGAAACCCCATCTCACCTTGAGCAGCTTATTATTCTGGTCCTCCATCACCAGGATGTCATCCTCTAGCTTCTTAATTTTGCCCTCAGATGTGACCTTCTCTAGCTGCAACTTCTGACGAGCATCTTCCTCCTCTTCCAGCTGCTCCTCCAGCTCCTACAGGCCATTGGGCAAACATTTGGGGAAAGATCTGTGTTGAGAAGTGGGTTGAGGAGTTCAAACAAAAGGACATCACATGTACCGTCTGTATAGACACTGTATGCCAGTCACAAAAGGCATGATGCAATGTCTTGCAAAGCATAGAACCTTTTGAACTATGGTGATCTCTTAGATTTTACACCATAACTGCATAGAAGCAGTGAGTGGGAACAATATTCTATTCACAACTGATGATCTTCCATCACTGTGGTTTGGGATCCTCTCTAATGCAAATGGTGTAATTTAAACCATTAATTGCAGCTCCTATGCGATCAGAAGCCATAGGACCGTGCGGCCAGACCTGGATCTGCTGCTGCATCTTCTTCTTCTCCATCTGCAGGCCCTGGCTGCGGTCCTCCTCCTCCTCCAGCCGGGCTTCCATCTCGTGCAGGATCTCCTCCAGCTCCTGCTTCTTGGCGGCCAGCCGCACCCTCATCTCCTCCGCCTCCGCGTACAGCTCCGTCTCCGCCTGCAGCTGCTCCTGCAGCTGGTTCTTCTCCTCCAGCAGCTGAGCACGAGGGAGGAGAAGGGCGAAGGGTGAGTGAAGATTTCAGAAAGGGTCAAGATGGGGGGGTGACAAACCGGAGCAAAGTCCTTACCAAGATGAGCAAAGATGGGAAAGGGGAACAAACCAAATGCAACAGCTGCAAGTGGTGCATCCTTGCTTGGGTCCTCAGAGGTGCCAGTCATTGCAACAGACTCCCGCAAGGAGGGAAGGGAGGAGTTGGCTGCCCCTTACCTGAGAGTGTTTCAGGGTGATCTCCTTCAACTCAGTCACCGTCTTTTGCGACTCCTCCTTGAACCTCTGGAGCTCCTCTTCCTTCAGATGCATTTCTTCTTCCTGCCGGGTCACTTGCAGCAGGGGCTTAACCTAAGGGGAAAGCGCAAGCAAGAAAGATGAGCGCTTCCCATCAATGAATGGAGCAAAATCAGCCCAGATCTCCAGAGAGCAGAAATACAGACACCAAGCAGACCTGATAGGAAAAACTCCAATAGGATTCATGACTACCAAAGCACAGAGGATCTGGGACTTACCTTGGTGAAGAGCCTCCACCATTGCCAGTTGCGCAGTTTGAGGTAGGCAGCACAGTTCCTCTGGATAACCTTCATGGCAGTCAGCTGCTGCTGCCGCTTGGCAAATGCCCTGCCAGACGAGACGCTGGGTTAACCCTGTGACTACGGACCCTTGTACTGAAATCTAAGAGTCTTCCTTTAGACTCCGAGACTCCAGTGCACCCGAGAGCACAAAAGTAGTTCTACTTTCATCCCTGAGCTTCACCTCCGTGTATCCAGGAATATTACAATCCTGCTGTGGACCCTACTGCTACGAAGATTAAATGCACATGGGGGTTTCCCAGGGAAAAAAGTAAGCAGGTGGAACGTCACGATTCCACCTCTTTCCCCACACCAGTTCACCTTGAAACTGGTTTTTTTTTTTTTTTTTTAAAACCTCCCAAAATTTAGACTGCCACGCACCAGCCGCTCAAAACCAAGGACTCACTTTCTGGCCAGGTATCCACGGGCCTGGGCCTGGAAGGTGATGATGATGTCCGTGATCTTCAAGTCCCGCTCCTCCTCCAGGTGGGCGAGCACCCCAGTCCGGAAGAAGATCTTGCTCTGGCCAATTCGGTACAGGTTAGGGTCCAGTTCCAGGTGCTTGATCTGCAAGAGGAAGCAAGTTGGATGTAACTGTATCGTGCTCCTGATCCATTCATAGAGAACAGGGCTACTCAATACATTCCCAGTCTTCACCATTCCAGTTCAGCCGATTCATTAATACTGATCATGGAACAATTCGGGAAACCGTTGTAGCAAAACTAGCTGTAATGGAGAAAGGCAGGCAAGTGGGAGCTCATGTATTAGGTAAACCAGTATAACATGGGCCATTTTTTTTAATTAATAGTAGAATAAATGGCAAAGTACAATAAGACCCACACACTTTTAGAATACAAGCGTTTTAGAAGAAAAATGCAAGTCTAAACAGTCTGTGCCAGCTCACCATTAATATGCAGGCTTGTTTGCCATCCATAAATCCTTTAGGAATGGCACCAGCAGCCAAGATTTCATATCTGTTGGGTGAGAACAGCCGGAGAAAAGTCACAATGCAGGGCTAGATAAAGGTCTTTTGAGAGGTCGTCTTGTAAAACTGCCCAGTAATGGCACCCATTCCTGCCTGCGACTGGTGCTGGCAGCCATCGCGCGGGGTGGGGTGGGGGGCTCAACTCACCGCTGACGGAACTCCTGGAAGACGATGCGGTTGGGGAATCCCTGCCGACAGATCCGTATTCCCTCCAGCACACCGTTACAGCGCAGCTGCTCCAGAACCAGGTGCGCGTCCAGCTTGCCCGCCTGGACCACGTCAAGGATTTTAAAAAAAATCAAATAAAAGAAACTAGCAAACTCCCCAGTTCCATTTTGAACAGCACCTTGTCAACATGCATCATCAAACCACAGGGCAAACAAGGATTTGGGTGGGGTGGGCAATTGATCTACGTTTATCTCGGAAAGAGTAAGGACCCATTACGATATTCGGTTGTTCCAGGAGAGCATACCCTTTTCTCGTGATTGGGGATGATGCAGCGCACAAAGTTGGGGCTCGTGTTGCGCAGGGTGGTCATCAGCTTGGCGAGGGACTCCTTGTACAGCTGCCCCACAGTGCGAAACATGCCCTTCTTGGTTTTGGAGGCACTGGGCATGGAACTGTCAGACATCTTGGCCATCTGGTCCAGCCCCACAATGCGGTCCACTGCCAGGGACAGGGAGAGAACACTCAGCCCTACTACAACACAGATGCATGGCCATGCTCCTAGCAGTACTCTGTGATAGACTGGGCCAGACACTCATCTACAACAAATCCACAGCCCCACATCTTGAGTTGCAATTGCATAACCTGCCCCATCCTTTGCTTTAGTTCGATACCATCATATAAGTACTGAACTGTTACAGGAAGTTACCATCTCTGCTGGATACACATGCTGGATGCTGATGTACTACCCTTATCAAAAGTGGTCAGCCACGTTTGTGGGGAAAACATAGGCATTCACCACTTCAGCAAAATGCTTGAGTAATTTCGTGTAAGACATGCCACCACCTGCTCTCAACATGGAGCCTCACCATCCTTCCAGAGGTCAGCCACATACTGGCTGGAGGACGAGTTCAGAAGGGCAGTGACGTTGTCATTCAGGGGATCCATGTTCTTAGTCAGCCACTCGCTGGCATTATAGTCCACCTGTTAAAAAAAAAAAGATTTGAAGTTGAGCTTTCGTTTGTAAGATCTCCTCACAATTCTGCAGAAACTCCAGTTTAACTGCGTGCTTTTGTTTTTTACAAGGTATTTAAGTTGGCATTATTGTCTGGTTACTTTCAAAATTCTTATCAGATCACCAGGGGATTTTTAAGGGCCACTATTCACTTTTTAAAAAGGTCTTGCTCAGAAGTGTGTGTGGGGGGGGGGGGGGGGGGGACTTTCTTTGTGTGGTTGTGGGAATACCAACTTTATTTTGTCATGTCATTACAATCAGAAATAAAATCTAATAAAGGCTTGGGTGTGAAACACCTAGGGAAGTGCACTAGAGCAGACAGAAGGAGAGGGTCTGGCCAAGAGGGAAAGGTCTGGATACATTTCTTACCCGTCCAGCATAGTGGAGCACCGAGAACTCCGTCTTATCTTTAAGCTGCTTGGGCTTCTGGAACTTGGTGTGATTGCCCTGCTCGTTGGTCAGCTTCTCCACAAAGGAGGTGTCTGTGGCTTTGGGGAACCAGCATTCTTCATCCAGCAGGGCCAGGATACCAGGGGGATTATTCTGCAGGGAGAGAAGCTGGATTAAAGTGGACTGGAAGGGCAGTGCAACACTCGTTCACACATTTCCGCAGCTCACATAAGGACAGCCCACGCGCAGACGGGCACACACTGACCGGCCTCTCGATGAGCTCGATGCAGGGCTGCAGGTCCAGGCCGAAGTCGATGAAGTTCCACTCGATGCCCTCGCGCTGGTACTCCTCCTGCTCCAGGATGAACATGGTGTGGTTGAAGAGCTGCTGCAGCTTCTCGTTGGTGTAGTTGATGCACAGCTGCTCAAAGGAGTTCACCTGCAGGACAACACAGCGGGAGGTGGATTCCTTCCCATTAGTGTAATGAACTTCACACATCTGTAAGTCTTTCCAGTAAACTGTAAGAAAACACTTATTACCTAATGCCTCAGGCACAATGTTCGACAACTTGCAAGTTAAAACCATTTCCTTATCTTCTGCTTGGCTATCTGCCAGGTGAAAATCTCCATCACTGCTAGAAGAAAATAGTCTACATTCCTTTTGCGCGAATCACCGCCTGCGAACCATTAAAAGTAGTAATAGATTCTGGAGCCTCGGAGAGCCGCCCTCACCTCGAAGATCTCAAAGCCCGCGATGTCCAAGATGCCCAGGAAGGACGCCCCCTGGCGCTTGGTTTTGTCCAGCGCCTTGTTGACGCGAGCCAGGATCCAGCGGAAGAGGCGCTCATACATAGCCTTGGCCAGAGCCTCCACTGCAAAGTCAGCCTGGTGGAGACATGGGAGGGATAGGCCATGAGTATGCATCTACCCCCATCCCTTCACCAAGCCTTATTCCAACTTGCATTGATGTACCTCTTCTTCAGACTGTAGCTCACAGTTGGATACAACACAGGTGCGCCTTTGTTTTAAGAAAGATCATGAAGGCTGAATTTTTGGAACGCCCAATGCTGGCACACGAATTGGCAAGCCTCTCAAGTTGCCGAACAGGCTCCTTCCTACCTGCTCTTTGGTCTGTGCCTTCTGCACCACATCTCGGCCCACTTTGATGCGTGGGGTGAGGATGGCTCGCGTGAAGTCCGTCACATTGATCCCCAGCAGGTGACACACTTTCTGGGCAGCTGCAGTCAAGGGTTAAACATCATCCATCAACAAGGGAACGGGCCAATTCTCCCCCAGTAGAAGAAGAAAAGTGAACCACTACATATTCAATTTGGCATTTTACAAAATGATTGACGGCTGATGTTCCTGCCCTCTTACCTGTGTTGTCTGGCATGGAGGCCTGGTCATTGTTCCTCTCCTTCTTAAACACAATGTTTCCCAGTTGCAGGACAGAGGAGACTATCTTCAGCATGGCTAAAGGATGGAAACAGTTGAAAAGCATTACAGATTAATCTAACTCGGGGTTACAGGGGTCCTACAGCTGTTAAAATTTTAAACCAGAGGAGCGAAGCTACAGTTCTGTACCCTTTTTCTTTTCCCAGCATGCTTTGTCCAGATGCTACAATTATGCAAAAGCTCAAAAAGGGCAATCTACCCCCCTCCCCATCACATCTAGCTTTTTTTCCCCCCTAAAGCATGGATTTGCAGAAACCCAGAACTCCCAGCAGCTCTTGAGGAGCAGGGCTCGTGACCTCCCAGACCCCAGGAAAACACTTTTCAGCCATTTTTCTGAGCAGCGTGTCAGGCGGCAGTGCCACGGAGAGCCACCTGTCTGCTCCTCTTGGGTGAAGCCCATGATGGCCATGGCCTCCAGCGTCTCGTCGAACATCTCGTTGTCCTGCTGTCCAGGGATGGGCACGTGGCCCGACACCAGGAAGCGGTAGTTCCCAAAGCCTTCCAGCAGCAGCTCCTCTGCGAGAAAGCACAAGGATCCCCATGACCGTGAACCCACAACTCGCTTTTAAACCTGCTGCAAAGGAAGGAAGCAGGTATCCTCCGCCAACAGGAAGACTCCTCCTTACCACGCAGCTTCTCCCCAGCCCCGGCTAGCATGTAGTAGAAGATGTGGAAAGCTCTCTCGATTTTGGCCTGCCTGATACAACGGGATTTTTCCAGCAAGTCTGCAGCAGGAAATGGGTTAAGGAACAATTTGGGAACCGGAGCACCGACCACTCAAATCCGCAACACCATCTCAGGGACCAGGAGCCAGTCTGACCCTGTATGAAGAACTGGATTTAAATGAAGGACTCTTGGCACAAGCCCGTGAACCCCGTAATAAGCCACAGATAAAATCTTAGGCTCATAAGTTACTTTTTCCCCCCAAAGAGCTCAGGCTTTTATGATGAGAGCAGATTAACAAAGCGCGTCAGACCACAGTTCTAGAAGAAGCTTTAAAACGAAACATTCACAAAACCTAACAAGAAATTTAATCATTTGTGACTGCTGAAGACCTAGAGAGCAGCTTGTTCGGCTTCTCGCTGTGGGGGGGGAAAATCTGACTACGAGCAGTGCGTGAGTGGGGGCAATGAAAGAGACATGCTCAGCAGCGTCACGCGGACCTGCCCTTCCCAGTGGGCAATGCGTTAAATGGGTCCCCCCCCCCCATCTCCTGGGTGACCCCAACCCCTTCTGCATTCTCCATCAGGATACAGGTCTCAATGTTGGCGCCCACAATGTATCCAGTCACGTCAAAATTGATGCGGATAAATTTACCCTGTGGGAAGAGAGAAAGACATGCTTCAGCCATCTTGTGCAGTGCACTGACAATTGCCACCTATAGTGACAGTAGTGTATTGCGTTTGTAAAACTGCCTGCAGGACCTTCAAGAGAAGATAAGCATGCTACTGGACAGGATGTGGTCATCTTGCAAGTTCAGAGAGATTTCTCAAGGTTGCCGATGCATGTGAGCAAATATCAACATTTCCATATTAGATATACTGTACAGTCTGTTCGGGAGTTGAAGTACAACATTTGCTGTACGTAGTTGTAAGGAGGTCTGAGCAAGAGGGCCTATACTTACGAATCGGGAGGAGTTGTCATTCTTGACTGTCTTGGCATTTCCAAAGGCCTCCAGGATTGGATTGGCCTGCAAGAGCTGCTTCTCCAGCTCCCCCTAGAGGACGAGGACAGAACAGCTTAATGACAACTAGACAACTGCATATCAAATGAGGAGGGAGGCAGTCGTCTTAGAAGCCAAGCCCCAAGCCTTTTTGAAAAGAACATCCTGCTACAGCTTCACTGGAAGTTCATGCCACCATCTCAGACAAGCTCTGGGAAAACTGTTTGAAGGGAAATGCAACTTATTAAAAAGGTTGCCTTTTGCAATCTTACAATGTGGAAAATGAGCATTCATGTTGGGCGGAAATTCAAAGATCAATAATGTTTTTCCCCCCCAAATAAAACCAGCTGAGCCCCAATTGATCTCTAAGCATTTGGTTCAGAGCATTGAGGAATTTCTCCTCTTTGAGCTGGGTTTCTGCAGCACAGCAGAGAAAAGGGGGTGGATATTCTCTTCCCCTTTGGTTTGTGGGTCTGTGGTTCTCCACTAACATGCATCTTGCAAATCAACCCATTATGTCCAACAGGCTGCAAGTCTCACTTTCTGTGACCTTTAAATAATGGTACACAGACACTTAAGACCTTTTTTTTTTTTTAAAAAGAGAGGCATCATTATGCAGTGTGAAATGAAAAGGAGATATCTACCAGAGACAGTTCAGCGCAGTGAAGGAAAGCACATCCATGATAGCACCAGACACTGAGAAAGAAAGAAAACAGCAGAAGGACAAGTGAAAGAACAGACTGCGACAGAATAAGACCAGCTCAGGAATGCTGAATAGGAAGAAAGAAATGGGAAGCCATGATCAGACATGTCTGCTTCTCACTGGAGTATCAGTTCAAGCGATTTAGAGGGGAGTGAGGGTGGGCTGGGGTCACTGATGGTTATCTGTAGGAATGCCATTGAACAGTTCATTCCTTAACTAGTCCCACTGACATGGGCTTGGTGCTTGTTTATACACGGCAGGAGACAAGGCTTCCCCTGATCAGTGCCCGCAGTCATGAGGAACCAGTGCTTCAGGAGAGCTGTATCCAGTGCACAGCTGGCGCATCATCATGAAGCACTTGAGGAACCACACTGTGATGAAAGACGCTCTAGAAGTGTAAAAGGTACTATGATTCAGGTGTTGCAAAACTTCACACTGTGCATCAAAGTCAGACAGGTAGCAACTGGTACGGTACAATTCCTCCCCTCGGATGGGATACGAGTATGGATGGGAGAGGGGAGGGGGGCATGCTCACACTGTGCGCCTTTAACCTTTTCACTGCCACCCCTGGCAGTGAAAGGGTTAAAAAAAAACAGGAACTGAATTATGGGAAGGGAGATGTAACCTACCACCCAGAACACTCAAGATACAGCAGTGAAACCGCACTAGCACCAACATTTTCAAGACACAGCTCTTCCCCGTTACAAGAGCCTTTAACAAGAACAGTGCTTGGAAGAATACTGCCAACGTCTTTCATATTTCTACAAAGACTCGCATGTCGAGGTCAAGCATCGAGTCGGATATTTATTCATCGCCGCTATTCATTTTTGGACGTGCTCAGGGCGAAGAGGCCACGCTCGCGTGTTTCACTGCTGTATCTCCTCTGGGGGAGCAGCTATCACATGCAGGTCCGAACCCACAACACACACACGGACAGACTCAGGCATTCCCCATTACTCACGTAGGCCAACTGCGATCCTGCTTGCTGCTATTTGGAGGAAATTATGACAAAGAAATTACATTTTGTGGTTTCCTGGAAATGGGCTGCGTTTCCCTCCTTTAGGAGAGGGGATTTCAGCCTGACTAATATGGAGGAGAATGGGGAGTTACATGGACACTGTAAAACGTATATTAAACAGGAAGGCTTCCATGTGATACTTTACTAGCAGTAGTTTTTCATACTCTAGTTGCCCATGTCAGATTGTGTTTTGAAAAGCCCACAGAAGCTATAGGTACAGTAGTAGTGCATTAAAACGGATACCTTTTTTAAAAAGGACCTAGTGTTCAATTAAGGACTAGCACGGGGTAGGATCTTCCATGCATAATATATAAACCTCAGTTCCCCCTCTCCCTCTGCACTAGACATAACAGACAGGTTTGGGGACCTTCCAAAAAATGCTCACACCTGCTCTTGTTCCGGTTACGCTAAAGCGCAAGACTGGATGTGCAAAGACGGCTTCAGACAGCTCAGAGGACCGATACTCACAGCACTGGTGTCCTTTTTGCCTTTATGGGAGGAGGCCACCACAGCCAGGTACTGAATGACTTTCTTGGTGTTCTCGGTCTTGCCAG